GTATACAACGAAAGGAGACTGCGACCACACAAAAGGCCACACCATCTTGGTCTTTATACCTTCGATTAAATGTGGGAAAATTAAACTACCAGTCCTCTTATCACCTTAAACGAAATAAATTGAATACCTATCATAAATATGATCTACTGGTAGTCTCGAAAACCTCCTTATGAAGAAAAAAATAAGTTATGCATTCGAATTTTATGGCAAGTACAAATTTGCTTCATCGACAATCCCGCCACAGAATGTGATATTTAAAAATGTCTAGCCCTCCTTGAAATTCGCATCTGTCCTTTGGCCCAAGGGAAGTCGTGGCAATGTGGCATAGTGGTTAACGTGTCGAGATTATACAATGCATTTATAAAGTTAGGGTCCCGTTTGGAATGTTGATGAGACAAGTCTAGACAAGTCTACTCCAGCCAGGATGAGGATACCTTTTGGGAAAGTAAGGCTATGTCAAATGCAATGGAAACATGAGGTCTACTTATATGATTGTGGTAAAATTCAACTGACAGTCGCCTTACCACCTTAAACGAAATAGAATGAATATGTCTCATATATAGTAAAACCAGCCCTCTCTCGCCATCAAATGAGCAAGGCTCATTTATCATATTTTTGTGACTATTCAGGCGAAATACATTATGGTTCCAGCTTTCATATGAGAGGTTACATCATCCTTCGCTTGGTGTTAAAATGAGAAGGATGACCGGCCCGACGAAGTTGGAGTTAAGTGAGAGTTTCGTTGAGAGCCTCGTCCTGTCGTGGACTCCTTCATCCACTCAAGCAAAGGCAACCAGAGATTCGGCATTGCCCAGGCCTCTTCGGCCGATCCAACCAGTGTCTGAGCCCAGTCCTGGACATCGTTTGACCAGACTGCCATAGAGAAGGAGACTCATTCACGGGACATATCTGACAGCAGATCTGCAGACGCCATAATGAGGCTAGGGCAACTATTGTACATTGTGAGTAGGCTTGGTCTCAAAAAAGTGATCTCTTCCAGCAGAGCCAAGCGTGCGCTGTGTAGCGGGCTAGCGACTAACAAATAAGCTGCCTATGGCGACGAACAGGTTTGCCGCAACAGTAGTCGCAACAGTAGCCGCAAGAGTCAAAACGACCGATATGGTGTAGTGACCAGAGGGCGAGCTCGTCCAATCACAGCGGTCGGGCGGCGAAGAGAGCCTTGAGTTGCCGACGCTAACGACAGAACCGCAGGCCCAATAGTCTCTAAGCAATAGCTGTTGCACCAGAGCATTGTTCTAATTGCCTCCTTTTGGGTGGCCTGTTGTATGGGGCGAGAAGACGAGCGGGAGCACACATTGCAAAAGGATCACATGGAGCAGACAATCGATATAATTTGGTATACGTCTGAGTCAAGAATAGAGCAAATGAAGAGAAAAGCCGAATAAGTAGAAAGGCTTATGTGTATATCTTATGTGCATATCTGCTAGAATTGTCGTACATGGAGATTTTCAGACAAATACAAACTGCATATAAATAAGTCCTGATGCATATCTTTGCATAAAAGGGGAAATCACATATTCATACATTTTGAACCACTCTCATCTGTACGTGAGTATTACTTTGCACTTAGCGTAGATGGCAAATAAGTCGAACCGCTTAGCTTCAGTTGCGATCAGAATAACGGCGTCTCAGAACTGAGTCATGAGCGTGTTTATGGCCCAGCGGGTAGGCATAAGACCTGCTTTAAATCCGTTACCCTTCCTAATCCAGACCGACACCGTTCGCGGTTGCCTGGATGGGGAAATTCGCCCACTGAACGCGTAACTCAGCCTCGTTGGCCTGGCACCCGGGCTTTGCGTGCCCGGCTGGTCTGGCGTAAGAACTGAAAGTGCGCTTGCAACCTAAACAGCAGCAAGACTTTTGTCAATACGTTGGAATCCGTTTTGATAAGTCAGGCTAAGCCATCGCTGGAGGCAGCTGTGACATCACTCCGTTTATTTGCTCGTTGAGAGCCTTGTCTTGCATCTACGTCGCAACGTGACGTTTGCATAGGCCTCGGGGGAAAATTGTAATTGAAAATAGTATAAAGCAAACGATGATCCATTGATAGCGCTGCTGCTCCAGCAACCTTGGCACGACTCTTTCTAAAAGTTCACCTGACTAGAATATAGTCAAACTGTCTCCAGATTTCGGGTCTCCAGTATATCCATTATTTTCCAGCATTTCGGGAAAAGTGACTGACCAACACAAGCCTGTGTTGCAGACGTCAAGGGGAACTGCCATATTTTCTGATATTTATACCCAGACTCAACGTGGACTTGAAAATGCCCTGACGGATCCAGTCCAGTTTATTTAAGCAGTCAAGGGGAGTTATTATGTTCCCCATTTTTAAAATAATAACTTTGTCACCCCAAGTCTCACACGGCGATTTAAGGCCTGACAGAGGAGAATGTCCCACAAAGGATTTAGTAGGCTTCACGATACGATTGAACTTCATTTAACACTGTCTCTCAAAAGGTGGTCCCATCCAGGCTGGAGTGCAGTTGCGCACTCGTCTCAGGGTAGCATCAGCACCCCCAACGGGATTCAAAATCGGGTCGTGAACATCGCTGCGATATGACCACTTTCTGCTACACACTCACGGACTTCCTCAGCTCACTTTTATATTTAGTTTGTCAAGTAAGCCTAATCGTAGATATGAAGACTAGGAGGTAGTGACATCTGCTTTAGTCGCAGTCCCCTCTCATGAGTGTACCAAGCCCACAGTCCAACGCTATTACAGGGGAGTTCGGACAAGATGTGTCCAACTAGGTCGCCATAGCAACACGACCAAGTTGCAACAATGAGCTCAAAGTATTTCTAAACAAACTTGAGCTTAACTAAAGATATGAAAACCAAGATGGTGTAGCCTTTTGTGTGGTCGCAGTCTCTTTTCGTTGTATAGAAGTCGTTTGACCTTGTTTTCGCAACTTGCTGACTACGATGTCGGCGAAACGTCTAGGAATGTACCACGTCCACGGTCCGACTTTGGAAATGATCATGCAGACAATGGACTCCAGACTAGGTGCATTCCTCTAAGTCTTCCTACAAATATGACCAAGTTGCGAAAACAAGGTCAAACAACTTCCAAACTTGTATTTGCTTTCTGAGATTATTTTTTTACTTTAAAAATACTTGCTAATAATTCGAAGTAAGCGTCATCATCAGGATTCCGCCAGGCCTGACTCGCGTGGTGATAAGTCTTGGAAATAAGAAAACTCGATCCAAATAAGACACTAGTTCGCATCCATTTATAAGCTGTTACGAGGACCATAAATCCTTGGCTACCCATCTCTTCGCAAATGCAGGGTCTGTATTAATCCGAGGATGTCGCTTTTGACTCTACAAAAACCTAAAAATGTACTTATGACTTCAATGAGAAATAATTGAAGCAAGATTTATGTACTTCAATGAGAAATAATTGAAGCAAGATTGTCGAGATGCTACTTGAAGGTAGATGGCTTCTCTCAAATAGAAAATCCATGGTCGAGAATATGA